CCGCCCCCCACAGAGCTACTCAGCGGCGCTGTACCTGGTGAGGCAGTTGACCTCAGCTGAGCTGTTGCAAAGGCTGGAAACCATCGGGGTGAAGCACCCGGAGCTGTGCAAAGCGCTAGGTGAGCTCGAAGCCGGGGTGGATGCCCCCCAGGGGACCGGACTGTACCTTTGCTGGGTTTGACTGGGCCCAGTGCTTGTAGGAGTTTCTGGCGGTGGGATCTGGAGGAGCAAGAGGGTGGATGGAGGAGCAGTAGGGGGTTGGAAGAGTAAAGGGGCTGGCTGGCTGGTATCTGTTTTGTACTGTGTGTAGAGCATTTAAAAAACCTAGAAGCTGCTGAGCGTGGGGCACAGGCCACCTGTAATCCCAGGACTCTGGCAAGCTGAGGCAGGAGGATCAGTAAAATTCAAGGCCAACCTGACCCTGTCTCAAAACAAAAAAATAGGAAAAAAGGAAACCCCAGGGGGACCCGCCGTGGCCCCCAGCAGGTGGAGTGGCCTTCCAGTGTGCCCGCCCAGGGGACTTTTCGGCCTCACCGCCAGCCAGCTGCCCTCACGTGCTCACCCGCGCGGTGTCTTCCTGGTGGGGGGTCGCCTCGCACAGGGCCTTCAGCTGCTCTGTGAGCCACCCCAGACCGTGTGGCGAGCAGCAGAGCCGCGTCCCTCTGTCGGGGTGCGGGCTTCGGCAGTAGAAGGGGCCGTGGGTCCTGGCAGTTTTCGTCAGGCCAGCCCAGCTTTAGCCCCACCGTGTCCTTGAGAAACTGCCTCGGTTGCAGAAGCAGCAGGGTCTCAGAGGGTTTTGCGGGTGGCTGTGTGCTTCCTGCTCTTTCTGCAAGAGCCCTGTGGGTCACCAGAAGCCCACATCGGCTGCCCGCTTCCAAGGCACGGGCTGGCCCCGAGCTGTACAGCCTGACTCCGGGCCTGTGTGTCAGGGAAGCTCCTGTTCCGGGGGGTGTGCGCCCAGCCCCGACCACCGGGGCCCTCCCGTCTGACGCCACCCCATCCCCTCCCCAGTCAAGGAGAAGCTGCGCTTGGACCCCGACAGCGAGATCGCCACCACCGGTGTGCGGGTCTCCCTCATCTGCCCGGTGAGTGGGTGTGAGGGGTCCCCGCCTGTCCCTCCACCAGAGCCACCTGGCCCTGGGACTCCTCAGTCGCCACGGTGGCTGTTTCTGCCATCACGGGAGCACCAGAGGGCAGGGCTGGCCTTGGGTGTACGTCCTTGATGTCCCACGGCAGTGAATAAAGACGAAAACACAGCGTGGTGCAGTGGGAACCAGAACGGGGCCTGGGCTCATTCCGCTCCTTGTGTCCACAGCTGGTGAAGATGCGGCTCTCGGTGCCCTGCCGGGCGGAGACCTGTGCACACCTGCAGTGCTTCGATGCCGTCTTCTACCTGCAGATGAACGAGAAGAAGCCCACCTGGATGTGCCCAGTGTGTGACAAACCAGCCCCCTACGACCAGCTCATCATCGATGGGTGAGTTTGGCGTGGGCTCGCCCCGTCCTGCAGGCCCTGGCCCTCGTCCTCGTGTGTTAGCCGTCCTCAGCACGAAGGCCTGTTCCTTCCGGGAGCACCATCAGAGCCTTTGCCCTGCAGGCCCGATCAGCCATGCAGCTAGGGCCTCAGACCAGCGCGGTGCCTCCGTGATGAGCGTGCGGGTTCAGGTCCTTCTCAGATAGGACGGGGCCGAGAGTGCCCCTTCGATGCCATTCTGCTGTTCTGCATAGAAAGGTGGAGAGACAGATGCCCAGCCCATCTGTGGGTTCCGTCCTGAGGCCTCCCCTGCTGCAGAGGGTTCGGTGGGTCCTTGCTCCCCAAAAAGGTAACTACCTTGGTCTGAGGTTTTGGGAAACAGCCCTGTCTGCATCGACGGAGGGGCCTCTGCTAGGCAGGGTGCAAGGCTGCCTCTCTGCTTTCTTGAGGTGCCACACACCTGTGCCGGGGCAGGCAGGGGGCCTTCAACCCCAGACCCCAGGGCCAAGCTCCCCGTGAGATAGGTTTTGCTCCTCGAAGGGACCCCTCCCACTTCTCGTGTTTGTCCCTGTCACGGGGATTGGGCCCCGAGTTCTCTTGCCTTTCTTTTACCTGCAGTTAGGCAAGTGCTCACCACCGAGCTGCACCCTCAGGTTCCCCACCTTACTGATGAAGAGACTCCGGCTTAGCACAGCCTGGCAATTCGAACCCAGGGCTGGCCAGTGCTGAGCCCAGGTCCTCCCTGAAGGGCCCCAGCCGCTGCTCCCACGATTGCACATGGGAGGCGTGAGGGGCCCCTGGGACTGGGCACGTGGGCTGGGCCTCAATGGGTGCTCTGTTCCCAGCCTGGCAGCTGTGCCCCGAGCTGCCTTCCCCCAGCCAGGAGCAGCTCTTGACAGCTCCGGACTGCCAGGTCCAGGGCAGGTGGCTGTGCCCCTCTCTGGCCCTGGCTACCCCAGTCCCTGGTGTGGTCCCGAGGCTGCCTAGAGGAGGCTCCTTGGCTCAGAAGCTGTTGCACGGGCTCCACCACCTTGCCACACTGCCCGAGCGGGGTGACTCCCAGGTTCCCCTGGGATGTCTTCCCAGCCCCACCCTCGGGGAGCCCTTCTCTGTGGGACGTGGCCCTGGAGCCCCAGCCTTGTTACCTGGGACCTTGCCTCCCAGTCCAGGACCTCTCTCTCCACCTGCAAGCAGGATGGGCCAACTGGGGGGGGGTCGGGCACTGTGGGCATGGGGCGAGGCGCAGTGAGCCGTGATGTGCGGGGTCCAGGGACGGGGCGAGGGGGCAGCCCTGTCAGCCGCCTGCCTGCCTCGCCCCAGGCTCCTGTCCAAGATCCTGAGTGAGTGTGAGGACGCCGACGAGATCGAGTTCCTGGCTGATGGGTCGTGGTGCCCCATCCGTGCCGAGAAGGAGCGGAGCTGCAGCCCCCAGGGCCCCATCCTGGTGCTTGGTGAGTCCCGTGGTGCCCAGGGACCCGCCCAGGTCCCGCGGTTGGCAGTTTCTTGTTTTCGTCAGTACTGCAGCTTGAACCCAGGGCCTTTGCATGGAGCTACATCTCCTTCCCTTTTAAGTCTCCTGCAGTTGCCCAAGCTGGGCTTGAACTTGGGATCCTCTTGCCTAGGCCTCCTAGAGTCCTGGATGTGAGGCATGCGCCTCCCCACACCTTTGTCGGGTCGGGCGGTGCTGCTCTCCACACGCCAAGTAGCCAGACTCGGCTCCTGCTCCGCGTCTCGAGTATCTCCGTCCTTTTCTCTTGTCCACAGGCACCTCGGTCACCAACGGGCTGGCGCCCACCCCCAAGGTCAACGGTGGAGGCGGTGGCGTGGTGCT